ACATACATAACTTATTTAAACGTAACTCACATAAACATATAAAACAGTCGACTTTTATTGTTTACGTAGGTTTCCCAATAAAATGATAAGTAGAGCAATTGCAGAAGTAGAAGTCAACACAATTCGACTGACATTGTGGAGTTTTAATTTCTTTAAAATAATAGGTGACAAAAATGTGGAAGTGTTAGGCAAAGCCGAGGAATAATAAAAAGTTGTAGAAGTTGTAGTGGTCACCCACACCGATTTGAAAGAACCGGTACCGGGGCGCAACAGCAAGGCGGGAGGTCATTGGGGTCGGGTTAAAACAGCGCGCAGCGAGTAGTGAAGCCAGTTCCAGTACTCCCATCATAGTGCGAGCTACGAGTGTGCAAGTTAGTGACAACACTGACGGCAAATATAACGGACTTTTCTTTGGGTATTTGGATCGTGACCATGGCATCATTTTTGGCCATCTCTTCGGCTTTTGTTAAATCTGGCAAGTCCCCGGTACATCTCCTGGTTATTTTATGACCACGCATGTTAACAGCCTTATCTGTATGTTCATTAATTGTGAATAAAAACTCTTTTATGAAATTAACTTGTTTTGGTCATAAAAAGAAAATTTGCGGAACTAATTGAGAATGATCTTATTAGAGAATGACGCTGAAGAGCAGCTTACAGATTATTTTTATGTGCATCTTTTTCATATTAACAAAAAATCTTTAAAAATGTAGCTGTACCAAATTCTAATCCTTCAACATCATTCGTACCTGAAAGTATTTTATGGCATTTATAATTTTGAAATTGCAATATTACCAATTCATATCTAGAGTTGCCACCTATTGACACATACTCACCCGGAGATTTTCATGAGTGGGGGGGGTAGGGTATGGTTTATTTAACATTTACACTAATTTTTAATTTAATTAATTTATTATAATAAATTAAATTAATTTATTAGTTTATAAACAATCAAATAAATTACATTTCCATAGTCAACAATCTATAAAACAAATAATAATATTACATTAAAAATAGAATATCTATATTACTTTTCTGTAATATTTATTTTTAAAAACTAACTTTTCTTCCAAGTATATTTCTCATTTGAAACGGCTTTCTTTAGTAAGCGTACTTGCTTCTTATTGTTTATGAATTTGCGAAATTCAACGCAAGACATATCATAGTTTAGTTTTGTAAAGAGTTCTGCTTTGACTAATTCGACTCTCATCCTGTTGTAAGATCTCAAATGTGTCTATAGTGAGCCAGTAAAACATGTAGAAATATGTACATTCATTTAATATTTTTATTTGTAATTTATTAAAAAACGAGAAAACACCAACCATTTTTATTTATTTCTACGAATCTCATTAAGTAAAACAATATTTATTAAAAATAAAAAATTGAAAATACAGAAAATACGTGCAAATTCTTGAAATCTAAGAATTAGAAACATTTAAACGCGTAGTACGTTCAATATTGTGCATGACCCGGAGATGGAAGTACAAAAACCCGGAGCCCGGAGATTGGTCACGAAACCCGAAGTCTCCGGGTGAAACCCGAAGAGGTGGCAACTATTCATATCCTCTATGGAGGTAACATGCAAGGCCAGTAGGGGTTGAAAAGTTTTGAACAGGAGTAAAACATTATTAGCTACTACGATTCACTGGTATGTTCAATGCCAGATACTGTAAGAACTTATTTGAACAAAGTTATAGATGACACACATTTTCAATACATGAAAATACTTTCAAAACAGTGTCGGCGATGTCACATTCATGTAGTAACTACTACATATAAATAACTACGAGTATTCCACCACTTTCCATGCACCAATTGAGACATACGAAGTGGCATTCCATGCGCCTCGGTCTTCTGGTGGGAAACTACTAATTTGTATTCGGATCCGGTCAGAATATTTTTTAAAATTTCCAAAAAACATGGTTTGTTGTGGCAAACGTATTTAATTTGAATACCTTCAAGTAAATACGGAGAAAACCAAAATGCTAGTCATGATGCAAAATGAAAACACATTTAACTTATTACTTTCAGCTTCTCACAGTTAAGTTTTCAAGCGTGCAAATACCGATTTGCTAATGAATGTGACGAAGAACTTATTCTTATTAAACTTAACACTTAACTTATTCACATCAACATACAAAAAAGTCGTCTTTTAATATTTGTATATATTTGTCCACAAAAGGATTAATAGAGAAATTGCAGAAGTAAAAGTTTATACAAATTAGACTGTTCTGCTTGTGGAGTTTTAGTCTTTTCAAAAATTAGGAGACAAAAATATAAAAGTAGAAAGCCAAGGAAGAATCAAATATAGTTGTAGATTGTGGGACAGAATTTTCGGAACTAATTGAAAATTATCTTAATAGAGAAAAATGCTGAAAACAGCATACAGGTGATATTTTATATGCATTTTTGTATGTAGTAGAAAAAAAAACGCACTAAATGGGAGTTGTACTAAATTCTAACTATTCGTACCATCCATATCTGCCATACCCTAAATTGAATGTAATAGTCTGAAAGCATATTTTATTGTAAAGTACTATATTGTTTAAAATTTCAAGGGTATATACTGATTAAATAAATTCTTTCTATTACAAATTTCTTAGCGTTTTTAATATTTCGCATGACGAAAAAAGGGTGCTTCTCATGAAACAATGTTTCGTGGGTCCGAGATGCGATAAAAATAACGTGCTTTCCAGCATTCATTCGTAATCTATGGAGGCGTAGCCGGTGAACGGAAAACTTTAGGCTGTTGACCATGTAAAACGATTTTCTGTAACGGATCTTCAAAAGAAGAAATTTGTCAACGCCGCGAAAAATAGGGATTCGGAATTCAGAGCGGCTAACATTGCTGATGCGGCAATTCTAGCGTGAACAGTGTGTGTAGAGACCAAAAACTGCGCCTTTTACAATTTTTGAAAGAGTGAGAAAGTGAAAATATACTAATGACGTTGAGTAAAACTACTATATTATATTTAAAAAGTATGTTTTTCCATTATAATGTAAGATATATTGTACCTTATGCATGATATTTGTTGGATACCAAGTGTACACTGAGAAAAAAGCAAGCCTGTTTTCTCCACTGAATGGTTTCTGTTATATTCAATGTTATCAATTTCACTTTTCTGTTATTAGAAAAGTGAATCTGTTGTTTTAATAATAATGTTCGTACCATTATCAAAAAAAAGTTTTATTGTTTTTTAGACAACGGAACAGTTTTCATTACAAATGTATAATAATCACTCAAATACATGCACAGAACTGTTGCAGCGATGGTAAAGGCGACCTGTACCAAACGTTATTACAAAGACGTAGTTTAACAGACTACTTTGGGTAAAAATAAAGGAAACCTCATTTTTATAATGAACTACTAAATTAAATGGATTGAACATGTATGATGTGAGTTACAAAATACATTTAAAAGGTTTTGGAGATACACCTAAATAATCGACTCTCAAAGCACACGCTTGATGCTGTGCACACATGGCTATTGAAAAATGTTCTCGTCATGCGACCTAGATTAATTTAGTGGTTTGGATTACAAAGGCGCCGTCTGCTAGACGACGCCGTTGTAATCTAGGATTAAAGTGGTAAAAATATTTTTTAAACTACAGTTCAGCAATAGAAAAGTCTTTAAAAAATTCACGTGTCGTATTGTAAGAAAAACTTTTGAGATTTTGTTCAAGCCTGTTCCAGGATTCTATGACAGAAAAAAAAAATATTTTTTTTTGAGAAAGCAACAAACTTTGCGTTTAAATTTGGGGCTGGGAAAATATCAATACTTCTTTCTCTGATAGAATAAGTTTATTTTATTATGTTTATATTGAGTTCAATCAGAAAAAATAGTGTTAAGTTGACGAAAAAATTAAAATTAAAAACATGTTTCTGACTGTACATGAGTGTATGTGGTGGAACGGTTGCTAAGAAGTTTTCATAAACGTGTTGTTTATGGTAGAATTATAGTGTAACTACCCATATGCTATTTGGTCTAGGGGAACTTTGTACTATCTTATGCAGGGGGACCCTTTGCCCCTTCCCCCAATAAAATATCCGAAATCCCGCCTCTGCACACTACATTATGAAATACGTCGATAATATAAATTTACAGGACTTGAGAGTTGTTTAAGAAATACATATGTGTGATTTTTCCAAAATAAGACGAAGACATCAAAACGACTCTTATGTCATATTATTCAATACATTTAGCATTATCCATAAAATAAGTTGAAAGAAAATCTTTAGAGCCATTTCCGATAAAATGTTGATTTTAAAAATTGCTTTTGTTTAACTCAAAACGGTACTTAAACAATTAATATTTTCGAAAAAAATGCCATGGCACTAATTAAAGAATTAACTATGGAAATTCTAATTTTGGACAAATTCAATTTGAAGAAAATATCTGAGCCGTCAGTATGAGGGAGTCCATAAAATATTCAACTTTGGCGATTTTCGAAAATCTAGAGTTAATATTGAAAATCGGGCATATGCCATATTTATAAGTGAATTTAGCTCTATTCTAGCAGATTTTTGTTTAAAAAATGGAGCTATTTTTGAGACCATTTTGAAACTCCCGCGGGCTTCTAATTTACCTCCGATACTTAAAACATGTTTTTCAAATCGCAGACATTCCAGTCGGACCAGATCGACCGAACATACTCATTTTGAAAAAAAGCCTACAAATAGTACAGCCAGTAAGTGTTTATAGTGTTGTTTACAGTCCGACGGACGTTTAGAAAAAAAAAAATTCCTGTACCATAGACCCCAAAACGCGTACTTCTGTTGAAATGAAATTATCTGCAGCATTACATAATGTATTCTATGGAACGTACATTTCGCCCTTCAAATGCATATATACGAGAAAGTAAAAATACGTGTCACTTTTATTTTATAATTGACATAAAAATAAACAGTTGAGAAGTTAAATTAGTGTTCGATTTTAATTCGAATATCTCACATAAGCCTTCATAATCTCGCGCGACGGGATGTCAAAGAATCTTCATTGTTCGTACCACTAGGAAGAAGTTAACTTCGAAGAAAAAAAATGTGGAAGTCAAGAGACGAATTTCCCTGACAAATTTGTAATTTTCTGCAGCTTGATATTTAAATGTAGCGATGTTGTGATTGTTATGATATTAATTTAGGAATATATTTTCCTAGAGAATTTCGCGAAATGAATCCTTCAAGTAAGATATTGTTATCACAAAGAACAGTGAAAGAGTGAAGATACATTTTATGTGCTAATTGCGGCAATGGTTCTTCCGTTTCCTATCATGCTCATTTAAAGATGGTCGATGAAGGAGGTGACAGGTTCGTTTGTGATTGTTTCATTAACTTATAGAAATAGAAATATGTCCAATATCAGGAAGATACGCTACTAATGCAGTATGTTGTATCAAATTTCATCTTGAGGTTGACTGTCTGATCAATTGGGTAAATGCTTCTTAAATGTCACTTGTTAAAGTTTTTTATTATTGTACAGGAATTGTTGGTAAACGAATATTTTAAGGCATTTACTAGTTTTGATTTGTAATACTTTCTCATGAGAATATTAGGTAAATTTTTAGAATTGTTTTTTTTTTTTTTAGATAGTAAGTTACACTTATGACAACTTAGTTAATTAATCTATGTGAAGCAAATATTTATTCTGATTATTTGGCAGATTTATAACTGCTGTTTTGAATTATTTGTTTTATGTAGGGAATTAGATCCCAAATTTGCTATTATTCGAGAGGTGTACGATAGCGAAAATGCCCACGAAACCTTTGAACTGGAATTAGAGAAGGCCCTGGAAGCTGGATGTAGAATAATAGTTGTTGAGCCTTCACGGTTAGGTGATGAGACAGCCAGATGGATATCAGTTGGAAATTGTCTTCACAAAACTGCAGTATTATCTGGAATACTAGCTGTTGGTTCAGGTTTGTATTATTTTGTGATTTACCAAACCGGCCACCAATCTGAATGAAATAAATGCACTTTTATAAATTTTTTGGTTGCAATGCTGTAAGACTTAGTTTCTCTTAGGAGCAACACCAATGAATGATTCATGAGAATTTTAGAACACTAAAGTGTAAAATTGTAACCCTACATATTTTTTTTCAGTACTTATAATTTTGTAAACCAAAGCATGTGTAAAACACTTAATGTATTGTATATTTTTTAAAGTACCATACAATGAAATAGTATCCATCACTGAACTGTTGAAAATATTTGAATTCTGTATTGAATTTCAGGTTTGATTTGGAATGAACGCCCATATTTATGTACTCCGCTGGCAGCTCTCTCACTCCTTTGTACAGGACTGTACACTGTTGCTTGGCAGTTTGATCCTTGTTGTCAGTATCAAGTTGGGACTGATGTAGCTGAACTTTCTGAACTTCCATTGCTTGGGGTTTTAGCATCGTCATCACCAGTTGTTTTAGTACGCCGTGATAATTCTCGTCGGAAGATATTGCATACTAGTGTATCACTGCTGGCAACTATTTTTTGTGCCTGGCGAATATATGAAGCTTATAAATGAGTGAAATAATTAGGATGTGCTTAAACAGTAATTGTTCTGACAACGAAAGAGCCATAGTAGGTGTGTGGATAAACCTAAAATATAGTGTGTCAGAAATATATTTCTAATTGACGTGAGCAAACATATTTTCTTTGAAATATTTTAAGCTCGATCACTCTAGAAAGTCTTCATAAATTTGAAAATGTGATGTACAAATGCAGTTATAAATTTTGATGTGTTTGAAAGTTGTGCACATTTCTGCTGATGCAAATGAAGAAAGGTGGTCGTATTAAAATTTAAATATTTTTTCTGGGCAAATTGATCACTTAAATTTTAAAACAAAAATCACCATCTAAGCTAAAAGTTCAGGGATCAGATCCTGCAAATTAATTGTGCATTGTTAGTCTGAAATGCCACATCGGTCATTAGATTTGTGCAGAGCTTTCAAGAAAGTTAGAATGTTAGGAATGGCATTGTAGGGAAGAATGCCAGAGTGATGCAGTAGATAATAAACTATATTTTTGCACATCTGTATATTTCCCAGAGGTTGCCCATGCTCTTGAGTACCTTAAAAATAGTTGTAATGCTCAGTGAAATCTGGTAATAGATATCTCAAACTTCAATGTTGCAGATAATGTTAAACTTGATAACATGTTGAGCACAATTTGTACAGAAATCTCATTATGCTGTGGATTAGGTCCATGGAATTATGAAGCAAAGTTCAAGGTGGTCATAGATTAAGGGCTTCTTGAAAAGGTATACTAAAGATGGGGGAAGATATGGGAAGACTATGAAAGACTGGTCCTCAGATAGCTACTGGGAGGGAAGTATTACTGCCACTTCTTGCTCTGAGGAATGCAAAATAGTTACCTACCAAGTTTATGTATAGTACAGGATTTATAGAGGGTTATTTTGACTTCCGAAAATTAAATACTGTATGGATCATGAATAAAGGAATATTGTATTTACAAATATTAATTTTATTCCACTTGTGTGGATTTTCCAGCAATGCTGAATGCACCACTGGCAATGTTTCTATTGTCACAAAGCAACATCGTTAATACAGTAAATAAGTCAGATTTTATAACTTCTGGAAATGCATTTTATATGCAACTGACTGTGTCAATACTAAATAAGTGAGCTAATTAAAAATAATCCAGGAAGGTTTCGTATAAGACAGGCTGTTTGTAATGTATGACCAACAGCATTCTTAATTCATGTACTGTCAACTGATGCTTCTCAGTGCTTAAAATAACTGTCCAACTAGCCCAGAGAAGAAACATCACTTTCATGGTCATTCCACACATTCCCCAATGATTCAAGCACTTTTTCTGCATCTGTAGAAAGCTCTTCTTTAAACACAGCCTTATCTAAATACAGTGGGCAGTGGGAAATATGCACCAAGAACTGGGTGGACTTTATTTGTACGTTGAACAGCTCAATGGTCCTGAAGTCTACCTTAAGAGCAAATATCAATGTGGAGGGTCTGGACGTTCTCCCCAGTTGAATCCTCCAGGTCTTTGATCCTCGGGAAGTGGTGTGTAATCATGGTCATTAGGATGACCATCAAACAAAGTTTTCCTACAAAAAATAAACATGTATTAAACATACTGAAGCAACTTTTGTTCTGAGCATTAAACTTATGTTCATACAAAATCTGCGGGGTGTTGAGTAACCGGAATCCTCCTCGTTGCGCAGGAAACACATCTTCGATGAAATAATACATGTGTCCCACAGCCATTCCCATTAGGTCCACCCAAATAGCATTTCCCAGCAGAACGGAAAAGCCAAGTAAAACCCATGGTAAGTATGGAGCCTGCAAAGGAAAGCAATAATATTTTACTCATCTCTCTGAATAAAATACTAAGGATTTAAATTAACAATGCAATGATTTTCCCCAGTGCCTCCTGTGGGCACCTAGGAAACTATAAGGTTATGTTACTTAGTAAATAATGAAAGGGTATGAATCCTCATCAGAAAGTCAGAAGGGAAAATATCTTTTTGAAAATACAGGGCCTGAAAAATTAAAATTTGTAAGGAGCTACCCTCCTCACACGGATGTCATCCCAGTTGGCTGAGGGCTTGTTCGTAAGAGAAATTACTCCACTAAAGGTATAGTTTTCAATGATATTTTAATTAATTTGCTACCAAACCTATGTTTAATTGAAAGATCTATAAACATCTCTTCTAATTGTATTTTGTCTGGCCTTATTTTTTCACTGAATGGCAGACAATTTTACCTAGCTGATAAACAGTGAACAAATTATAAATAAATATCACCTTATATTCCCCTCAATCTTACACAAATTAAAGAACTCTTCAGTAATAAATGGGTATATTTGCAAAATCCCTGTTTTTGAGTTGACAACTTTTTGACTTATAAAGGTATATACTTCTTAAATTTAAACATTTTAATATTTAAAAAACATAAATTTGTGAATGTCAATGAATTAAACCAAATTCTAACTAATAACCATTTTGATACTAATGTAATTCCAATTTTCTCTCACATCAGCTCTCCAAACAATCTGAACAAAATAAGGAACTCTGATTCTTCAGAAAGTGCTGGCAAGTTAAAAACTGAAGTAAATGCAAATACTTAAGGTACAACCAATACTTTTCGAAACTAGACCTTAGAAACTTTCTCAGCAAAAAGTAATGAAATCCTTTACCTGGAAGTTGATGAGGCCAAAAAAGTTCATTTGCACAAAGGGATTGCGCCGAGACCAGACATATACCAACATTATAGTAAATGCTTGTCCCAGAAACAAGAGATTAATGAAAAAAGCAAACATCTATTTAATGGTTAAGGATCATCATTTCTTCTCAACAGGGCGGTCTTATACAAACTTCTTTTAAAGGATACGATCATACAAATTCCTCCAAATAAAAACATCATAACAAAGTCAGCAGTTCGTCCTCTGAATGATCCTTCTTCCAACATCCGACAATATCGGTATGTAAAAATCATATTGAAGAAGAAGTTAAATCCCAAGGTGCCAAAGAATAAAAATGTTGTAACTAGACGCCACAACTGAAACACACATCGGTCTTTTTTATTTCTTCAACTAATAATAACATTGAAAGTGCACAGCAGATTTTTTTTATACCTGATATTGTTTCACAATCAATATTGGGTTGAAGTAAAGTTGGAAAGGTGACACCAAATCTAATTGCTGTAAGATAATAGGAAAACAATACAAAATTAGGAAATAAGTATTTTTATATGCAATCACATATTGCCAAGTAAAATAACACATTAAGGAAACATACTACAGCTAAGGTGGTAATACAACAAGCTGTTGTATAGGCCCTTGTTACTACTGGCATCTGTAAATACTCTTGACGGAATGTTTGATACGCCATGGCTTCTCAATTAACTTTTACACTTCACAATATCATATTCTGACCAACAAAAAACTACATCAGTCGCTGGTACCGCACTGAATACACCTATTCATGTTCACGCGAACAAGTCACACATCAGCTGGTACACGAACATCCCAAGGCAGCCAATTTCGACGTGAAAATATTTGAAAGTGATCGTGGTTGGCATCACAATGCTGAACCAAGAGAAAAATTTTCATATTGGTGCTATTGCTTGAACCGGAATATACCATGAATAAAAACATAACAATACATGGTTCCTCCTATTTCCTGTAACCGTACTTGTAAACCAGTGCGTGATACCATTTTGTCTGCGATAATTTTATTTACGTAATAACGTACACTCTGCGAAATTGATATACAACTACTGCATTAAAGAACAGACTCGGAGACTTTTATTTAAAAGTTGGGTTATTAGAATATAATCACAAAGAAATTTTATGAGTTGGTCATCCTGATTTCACTTCCCTTTTTCTGTGCACTTGAAGCTGAAGGGTTGTGATGAACATGCTTGCGCGAATAAGTTTGGGGAGGGGTGCGGGGATGTAGGGAAGTAATGACAAGTTGAAGTGCAGCTATATATACCGGCGTAGATTGGAGACTATTTGTGTTTGAACTGTGCAATTGCGAATGTTCAATGAAAACCAGGTTTTATTAAGGGAACGTTAGTGATGGATGACAGCGGAACGACTAAACAACGTAGTACTTTGCTTCCTAATTAATACATGTGTTTGGTGACTATTGTTTTACCACAGATTATGAGAAAATTATTCAGACCATTGATATTGACGAGAATGTAATCGTACGTACATTTACGGAATTATAAGTACATGCTTTCCACAAATACGAAATATCTTGACATCCCACTTTTATAATAAGGGCGCGTGTTAATATATTTTTTCAATCATGGGCGAATCTGGAAATGACAGCGAAGCAGGTGAGTAAACTAATCATTACAAAGCAAATGTAACTTGGTTACATTACAGCCAAGAGTTTAAATCTTTCTTTTGATCTATGGCACACATGTTTTAACAGAAACCCAGGAGATGCTTAAAGCATTGTATGATTTCAAGGCAACATTTGCAAAAACGTTAAGCTTTCATGAAAATGACCTTTTCATTTTGCACCATTCTAATACTAAACAGAGAAATTGGTGGCAAGTTATCAATGAGAAGGGCCAAGTTGGATATGTACCATCCAATTATGTGACAGCTATCCAGGTTAGTAATTCACATAAAATGGAACAATACTGGTTAAGGAATGAATACTTCAATGCTTATTTCTTATTTAGGTCAGCCCACATTATTGGGTAGAATTTCTGAATGGATGTTTGGAGGCATTGAATAATGAAAGTGCAAAGAGTGGAGGCAGTTTACCTTCTGACCGTCAAGATTTACTTCAAAAGTTGATGGAACGTCGAAGGCTGGCCAGTATCATGTGCACTCCCAGTAAACGTCGGCATGCACCTGTACCCCCAGATTTTTCAGATGGAGCAGCCACTCCAATTCAGAGTTATCCAGATGGAAATGTCCAACCAACTATCAGTGCTACTTCATATGTTACTGCACCAGCTTTGTTGCAGACATCACAGAAAAGCGCATCGGTTAGTTAAATGAATAAAACTCATGTATTCCATTCCAGATTGGTTATTACTTTTCTCATATTACTATCCTCTCTGTATACAATGACCTGACGTTATAGATGTAGGTTTATCAGTTCAATGCAACGATGCCTTGTTTTTTACATGTTGCAACTCTGCCCATCTGACCAAGAAAATTTTGCTATGCTCCTTTCCTAATTTATAAGAAAACATTGTCACAAAACCCTAAAATTGCACTACTTCTGAGTAGGGAATTACTCCCGTTTCCTGCATCCAACAGATATAGGGGGGGGAAATTGAACTTTGTGGATAATGACATAAAAACAGATTACTGCAACACACATTAAAATCTCATTACTTGGAAATTGTGTATCATATGCCCATAAAATCAGGTTTTTGTATCCTAAAGGGGGACAAGTTTTGTGGGGACCACTTCTCTGAAGACATGTGAGTTGGGAATATTGGGAAATGGAAGAGGACAGGAGGGGCTCAAATTATGTTTTTTAAGCAGTATACTACAAAATAAGATATATTTGAACTTTCTATTAAATTTTTTAGTTCTTTTGTGCGCTTCCATTATATAGTAAGTGTAGTCAGAAAAGTGCTGAAATGATGTAAAATTAAATTGAAAGGAAACCAAATAATCTTTCTTGATAAAGTTAAAGAAACTGTTTGATTTTTTGTGTAATTTAATTTTGAAGCTTACCAGTTGTATTGGCTATTTTCTCACATTACTGAGCCTATAATGCTGTAAAGCATGGATTAGGGGATGTCCTTATGCCAGGAGACTGATTGGAAGTTAAGAGCTTGTCTCGGCTGGGGCGGTGCCCCACTGGTGGGAGATACCTGGTTGGGGGAAGCCCTGCTAGCTGACGGTAGGTCGGCCACAAGATCTGGCTATCCAGTGGGAGGAAGATCACTGTCACCTCCCGAGGAAAAAGAGCACGCACTACACTTATGGGACTATTGACCTTCCTAGTTAACATGTTCGGAATTGCTAACAAACAAATAACCAACCAATCAGGTGCTGTCTGCTCAAAGTTGGATTCTAAAATGAAGTAATTTTCACTTTTAAAATAATTACCGCACTAAAATAAGTTTTTGCATAGATCCAGCTATTATTTTATTACTACAGTGTGTGCACTTCCTGAAAACTGAAAAGTAAGGGAATTTGTTGATCTGGGAAAGTCAGGAAAAAATTGGAATCTTCAGAATTCACAGAAAATTGTGAAGTAGTAATAAAACCTGGTATTATAAATGTTGGTGTCGTGATATCTTAAGGCACAATTGTTATTATCTTCGTAAATATTGTTAATTTTTTCTTTTTTGCTATGAAATCAGGGAACAAACGGGTAATAACAGGACCCAAAGTTTGCTTTCATTTAGTATTTTCTGTAAATTGTGTGAAACACACTAGAAATGTTATCAGGGAAATATAAGGAATGCATGAAATGTTAAGAGATTTTTGTTTCAGGAAAAGCGGGGGCCACCTTATACTAATGTTTATGGGATGGGGGAAGTCGTCTACATAAATTGTGTATAACGTTCATACTATTCTCCTTCTTGTATATCAATTTTTGCTTTGTGTGAATCTCAATATTTTGTGTTGTTTTGTATTTTCATCCGTTTTAAACCACTCTTAATAATTTGTGTGTTGTATATTTTAATTAATTTTTCACTTCTTCAAGCTTGCTGATTTTCAGACTTGGCTTTTCTGGGACATTGAAAATAAGTTATTTAACTTACAACCTGTTGATAGTGGAAAATAAAGATTTTTATATTTTGAAATCAATCTAATCTTTCAAAGTTAAGTCACTAACTGAACATCTTCAGATAAATTTAGTTTACAAGGAGAAGAGGGAGATGTTTAAAGACATAATCCTCTGGTTTTGTTTTCAGAACTGCCATTATATTTTGTTGTATTTTGTATTTCGTTGTATAGATAAGTAGATACAGTCCTGACATCCTGTGTGACACTTCTGCATTTTTAGTTGAAGGAAATTGAAGTTGAAGATTGTTTTTGTATATTTATAAAGACATCATATCAGCAACATGTTTTCAGATGTATGCATTTATTCACCTATACAATTGCAATTTATGAATGGATTATATGACTGTCTACATACATATGACATGCAAACATCTTGACTTTCCGAGCAGCAACTGTAGTCAAATTCAACACACGTGGGGAATGGTTTTCATTTTTTGAGATTTCTATTAAAAGTCGTTTATTTAAAGTTAAAGTACCAGGTCAGAGGCAAGTGGAGACAATCCATTAGTACTACCCCACACTATTGCCAAGAAGTAATATTTTGGAGTATGCCTCTTCTCTGAACCCGTAATTTAACTTGAAAATTTTCATTGATCCAAAATTTCATTTGAAATTTTCTAGTGAATTTTATTTGGCTTCTTCAGGTGCAATAAAGTCTATACAAAGTAAATGTACAAATTGTAGGAAATATTGGTGGTTTTTTGGTTTCTTTTATTTGGAGTAAAACATAAATGATGAAAAATTACTAACTTTTATGTATATGTTATGTCTGTTTATAATGTTTAGTACATTAATAAACAATTTCTCTTACATTTTTCTTAGTGTTAAATAATGTGTGTTAATTTGTTGCAATACTTTTCATAGCTTGAGAAGATTGCAGGAGATCAATCTTCAAGCTACATTGAAACACACACTAAACTGACAGAACGTAAAGGTCAAAAGCATTCTCGTAGTCATCCCCATGGGCAACAATCTGGTCCAAAAAAGACAACATCAACTCCAGTTTTTAAAACAGGCCGAAAAACTGATGGTCAGGAAAATGATTCATTAATAGCATTAGCTCCTCAAGATTCTTCTGGTTCTGTGGCTTTAAATGTAGACACAGGTTCTCAATCTGCTTATATGTTAGTAGATCAGGTGAGTTACAATAGAATTAGCTTTATCTTCTAATACTATTCTTTGTAGAATTTTATATTGTTATTCATTGTAACAAAGAGGATGCTTATGGAATTAGATGACCACTTTGTCTAGTATGTTGAAACTCAGTAGCATATAACATGTATATTTGTGTAGGTTCGTCGACATACACAGCTAAGTCATGAGCTTTCACGAGTGGCAGTGGCAGTTGTTATTGCTGGTGTACGAGACTTGGTTGGAACCACTCCAGAACTAATATCTCCCCTTTCCGCTATTTTGGAAAGCGTCCAAGGTCCTCTAAAAGCCCCAGCCCCTCTTCTTGAGGATTCACATGATGCCCGCAGGCTACGTCTCATCTTTTCTGAGCTAACACAATGTAAGGAAGACTCCCAACAACGTAGTTGGATGTTGTATGAAGATGAGGCAACCATTATTGAGTACATCAAAGAACTGACGTCTATTCTGGTGAGGAGTATCTCTTACTGAAATCTCATTAAAATCAATAGTATTTGTTAACTTTGGTAGTATCAATTTAATTTTTCCATATTTACATTTTTCTCAGTTTCCTTCAGGTTAGCATGGATATTTTGTTGTATTTAAAAAAGAAATTGCATTATTGGAATGAAGTATGTTTATTTTTTTAACTATGGTGAGGGCTATGTTGATGTATTAAAAGAAAGTTGTTATTGGGCAATCAGTACTTATTATGACATTCACTAGGTTTGTTAATTCTGCATTGTGTAGTTCCAAAGTTAGGTAACTAAGGGCCAGTTGTACGAATGTGGAATAAACTCGGGTTACATTTTGTCATGCTGTTAGCGCTTAAATCTGTTGTACGAACTGGGAATGCAGGTTAACTGAGGGATTGCAACATAAGCTATCCTGTGATCTTATACATAGTTAATGGATGGTTAACAGCGTGTTAAACTTTACACTGGATATTGCCTGCCAAATAATAGGAAAATCTGCAGCACATCTTGACTGAAGTGTACGAAATTCTGGAATATTTGTTTTCTGGCAAGAGTGCAGAAGAAATACTCCTGATGTATTTAAAAAGTCGAAAGCTGAGGAGGAGGGCAGACTTGCTGATTGAATATGACTATTATTTTTTTGTAAGATTCAGATTAATTAAGCAAATACGATCCTTATAAATGACAGTGAACACAATACAAACAGGAAAAATCCATGAAATATTAGTTTTTGTATCAAATGTGTTCTACTATTTATTATATTTGTAACCTACAAATTGACAAATGTTTGGCTCAGTGCTGTATAAAAATTTTACGTAAAGGTTATGTTAGTCTTACAGGAATCAGTCTGTACTGCCTATAATCCAGCCCCTACTTACATTGAGATTATGCTACTGGATCATTTGCCATTTTCATTGGAGATTTTTGTGGGCTGGATAAAAGTAGCGCAAGATGGATAATTAAAAAAATTGCCAGGTAATAGCCAAATTTACCCCAACATTTATATACTTTCTCAAAAGTGCACTGAACAGCAACCATGCGCGACAAGAATTTTACGAGAATGCAGTTTTCCCAAGAGTAATTGGTGCTATTGACTGCACCCATTTTAAAATAAAATGTCCAGAAGGTTACACATTCACATATTACACAAGGAGGACAGATGGCCTATTTTCATCAAATGTACAAACTTGTGTATTGGTTGATTTGAAAATTCAGAATTCTGTTGATCGCTGGCCAGAAGCAATGCATAACCAAACTGTTTTTAATAACTCAAACCACAATTTTAAACATAAACAGGCCGGCACTGTCAGGTTGCCATAAGAGCCTGTGTTAAATTTATGGTCTTCTTACTTGAAAATTGGATTGTGAAATCAATTGAAACTCTACTGCAACATAGAAGTATCTCTAATCTGTGGATAAATATAACACATATCTTGCTCTAACCACCTTAAACAAATGAAACTTGTCAGAGAAAATAAACATTTCTTCAACAAACAACAATCGCCAGTTTTGCCAACAAACTTTCATTCCACTTATTTAATGTTTATGTAACACCGGTGAAGTAAAGTGTCGTACGACTGTTCGCCCTATTTAACCCAGTGTTAAGCAATACTTGAGCGTTACTAAGCACAGTTGTATCCTTCATTCGTACAACCGGCCCTAAGAAAGGTTATTTTTGTCTTCAAATTTTGTGAATTAGTGTTAAAAATGTATGTTTAATATTTAACTGAAAATCATGAATTCTAAAAAGTTTCAAATTGACTGAAGAATTGATTTTAAGACATTTATATTAAAATTCATTATATTCACTTAACAGTGTCCAATTAGTTATCCATACACATAAGTAAGCGCTTTGTTTCTAAATTTCTCTTAACAAGTTTTTTGTCATAATTTGCTTTAAACTTAAATAACAGTAAAACTTAAGAATAATGAAGACAAGAGCTTCACTTATTCCAATTCTTTGGGGACAAAAATTCATACCTTTTAATTCGTTTTTATATGTTATCTTCTTTTACAGAATAATGCTGATGCAGCTATTTCCCGACACATAGTGGCAGCTGACCAGTATTCTGGAGTAAGCTCATTAGCACAATATTACCAAATGGAAACACGTTGGTCTATTCGTCAATTGCTTTTGCAAGCCTTTGGTGTAATATGCAGTCTTGATGCAACCGCTCAGACTCTTTTGCTTAATTCTGTTCTACCCATGGAACTTGCAAGGTAAATTGCTCTTTATTACTTTTGCATGTAATATGGAACCATCAAATTTACAAGAAATTGTAAGGCTTATTACTTTTAATACTGTTCCGATGTTGTGCCATCAAAGTAAATACAAATTCTAGTTAATAAATGATTTACAAGATGAGAATAAAAAAACTTAATTACATGATGAATAATATTATAGTCTTGAAAGTAAAATTAAATGAAATATTTTCCAGTAACATAAATTGTGGAGTTCATTAAACCTGAGAATGATCATCATATGTCCAGTTTTTTTATTAATTTAATTTTCCTTCTTCATTAAAAGAAGTCACTTTCTAATAGATACAAGTTGTCTAAAAATATCTGTGAGATTTTCGTTAATAAGAAGGGCTTGAACTGGTGATAATTCAAAATAAGTGCTTTTGAAACATTTTGAATGTGTTTATTGTGTAGTCTAGAATATCAGAGCATTGAACTTCCATATTTAGTAATTGTGATTTGACGAATAATTTGATGATGCTCGAAATGCTTTAGAAAAAAAATCATCAAATTTTTCCTTGTTGAAACAATATTTTCAGAAAAGTTAAAAAACATTGTAATACCGTATGATGTTTGTTGCAATCCAACTAGTGCTCCTATTGTTGCTCAAACAAATATTGCAATGCGCTTTTTTACACACATTTTATACAAATTTTGTACTAGCATACATTTAAAACAAAATGTGTTGAAAACGATCTGAAATCTGTTTCAAAATTGGTTCAGATCTCTATCATCAGAGCTGCTATATACAATATGACACATGTTTTCAAATTAACAAATATTTACTTCTCTGCCGACTGGATTTGATTTCATTGCAATGAATAATTTTGTCACTGTTTGGTGCAGAAAAGAATCTTTCTGATGCAGATTTTATTCAAATGTCCAAAACTCTTTTACAATATTGGAACCAGACAGCAGTTGCACGTTTATGCAAAAAATACTTATTGAATAGTGTATGAGTATTTATGATGTGGGATTATTGATAGAGAAAAGCTCTACAGTAGAATATTTTTTTAGGGACATGCGGAGCAATCCTCGGAACATGCCTAGACTGAATTACTCTTCACTTCTCTTGACAATGTTGTTTTCAATGGGTGAACCAATACCTATTACACATCTTGGTGAGTCCCTTCATGAACTGATGTTGAATTTAAATAAATAAATAAATAAATAGAAGGAAAAGAAATACCACAATGAAATATTTATAGGCACAAAAGGTGCTCAAATCTAAAATGATTTTAAAATTCTCTTAGTCACCGTTAGTATTCAGCCTGAAAATAAAATAAAGAACATGACCATTATTTCTTCTTGAATTTAAATTTTTTGAGATTTGTCAGGGTATTAAACTTGCATGAATGAAAATAAATAAATCACTAATTGAACTAGTCTGTTGTATTTTGGAGAAGTGATCCCTTGATTAAGTTATGTGATAATACTTTCCAAATATTTTTAGATATAATCCTAGGTTTCTTCTATATTTTGTCTTTCCAAGTTTTCCCTTGACTTTTGAATATTCTTTTTGTGGTGAATTGTAATTTTTTTGAAGTTGTGGATTTTTTTTATGTGGATTCATTTCTCACATTTTCAGAGCACCTTGGTGAAGATTTTATTACGTTTCTTTTTGATTTAATGGAGTCTCCTCCTGATACAGATGTTGAAGAACAAATTCCTGACTTGTTCCTAAATCTTATACTGTCATACAATCTTCAATTCAAGTCATTCACTGAAAATATTATGCTAAAATCTTTATTGAAAAGATCTATTGCAAAAACATTTACAGAGAAGATATTACTTCTGCTCAATAGGGAAGGTTAGTCCAGTTGCATTTCTATAATTAAAAATATACGATTTCTTTTATTTTAGTTTTTTAAGTATTGCAATTAAACTGTTGATATGATCTGACATGATATATTTCTGTAATCAATAAAATATGGGGGGGAAATGAAAGATTAGAAGTGGAAATTAATGTTTTGTATTTCAGGAATATAAATATGTTATTTAATGATAATTTTATAATGGCAATAGAATGCTTGTACTGTTCTAGTCCTTCAGCATGACATTTTGATTCTGTTGTGCTTCTGTATCCTTAGGAATTGGGTGATGATTATAAGGTTCAAATGTTTTTTGTCACAATGCATTTTTAAGTTTCTCAAATTGTTTTTGAGGATACTTTTCTTATTGTTTTAATGATGGCGTAAATGTTGAATATGCATTCTATGACTAAGGCCTAATAAAAGGGGTGTCGTTTTGGAATTGGTCATTCACTCCCCGAACCTGGTGACTTTTAATGCTGGTGAACTAGCGCCTTTTGCCATAGCTATGAATTCAAACACAGCTTTTGACTTAGCCCTTTTGCAGCCCTTCACTTGCAAACATCTATGCAGTAGACCATATTAGAAAACCTGTGTGGAAGTGACCATTTCCCTACCATTGTCCATGTTGATCAACTAGGCGATAGGTTTGCTCAACCCCTTTAATGGTTTATGCAACGTGCAGAATGGTCAAATTTCCAAGCCAATATGGACCTCTGAGATGGTCCGTTTGGCGATGTGGATGGAATGGCTGCGCATTTTAACAGTGCTATTCTTGTTGCTGCTCCCCTTGCAATTCAGAAATAAACCTGTAAACCGCAACTTCCTTTTGTCCAACAGTGGAATTCAAACTGTTCTAGAGCAGTCTGTGCACATAAAAAGGCACTGGCATGATTAAAGCATTAATCCAACCATATTGTATTAACCGTATTGAACATAAAAGATGCATGACGAAGGCAAGGAGAACAATTTTAGAATTCAAAAATGCATCGTAAAGAACGTATGTCTTCTCTCTCAATGCACCATGCCTGGTGTGGAGAAAGATTCACTAATTAAAAGGACTCTTGTCACCAAATAAGGTGCCAGCTCTTCTTAAGAATGGAGAGATAATATCTTCTCAAACTACTCCCAGACTTTCTTTTGGTTAAAGAGTGGATGGACTAACAACTATTAGAACTTTCTAGCAGATCATATTTCAATTACAATACCCCATTCTCCAAATTAACTCTGCTGTCGCGTTAGCAAAAAGAACAGCCCCAGGTTCTGATTGTAATCACAACTAAATGCTACAGCATCTTTCTGGAATGGCAGTACTGAAGTATTATTTAGTGTAGTAGTAATATTTCTGGAAGGCAATATTTTCTGCCTCTATAATTGCACCTGGGAAGGGCACACATATGGCAAGAAGTTATTGTTGTCCCTCTTCTAAAGGAAGGAAAGGATCAACCATTGCCATCGAGCTATTGTCCTAAATCTCTTACAGCCGCATTGGTAAAGTGCTGGAACACAGAAAATCAGTGTTTGGTGAGAACCTTGGAGTGGAGAAATCTATTCACTCAATCTACTGTAGGTTCAGAAAACACTGGTCAACTCGCGAAATACTAATCTCTGTTATAATGACAACAGGAGTTAAAAATGATTAACTTTAGCACCACAAAGTTTTCAAAAATTTTAAAATTTAATGCCATCTTCAAAAATAATATTTGGCGAAAAATAAAAAGCCTGTTTTTCATATTTTTGCTTATACTCTTCACAGAAAAGAAGACCATTTAAAAATCTGGGACATCAAGGTCAAATTGTCCTTACATTTGTGTGATAGTGATAAAGTGTAGTGTCACCATGTGAGGCTCTTGGGTATGTTTTGAGAGTTGGCAACACTGAGTGTTAAGAGTGGGATCTTCTGATGAAATTGAGCATCGCAGGAACATGATAGTATGTAAACATGTTGTAGTGTCTCGTTGCATGAAAGATGTAGGTAAAAACTGCCTCCATATGTGAACCTTGTGCTGTGATCTGCTTCTTTCTTGCAGAAGAAATATCGACAATTGATTTGTTGTGTGTGTGTGTGTGCATGCATGCGTGCGTGCTTTAATGAACAGAACGAGTGTGTTTAAGTGGCATAGGAAGTGTAGTGGAGGCAGAACAAATGTTAATGATGAACAGAGGAGTGGAAGACATTTCATTTTGACTAATGAGTTGGTGCAAAAAATCAAGGAAAATGTTGTTTATGTAGGCAGCTGATTCGCAGAGGATGAAATTTCTGCAATATTTCCTCGACTCTCCAGAACTTTCTTTCGCGATACACACACAAGTGTGCTGAGATACTGAAAATTGTGTGGAAAGGGGATCCCAAATACGTGCAAAATAGGTACTGACAGAGCAGCACAAGAAAAATTGGGTCAGTACAGTCTGCAAGTTTCTTGACCATCTTTTGAATTGGAAGGTGAGAATTTTCTGAGCTCTGTTTGTACTAGATGAAACGTGGGTAGCTTGTTACACACCTGAAACAAAAACTGTAGTGAGACACCAATACCCCATCTGCCAAAACCACAATTTTGGGCAAAAAACTTCTAAACGTACTGTATCTTGTGTGAATTGCAAGACATTGTATCATCTAAGCTGTGGTGAAAGTGCACATATGAATATGAAATTAGAAGAATTTCAATGTTGCTTGACTGAGATAAATATGGATGCAAGCAAATTAATCCATATCCTCAAATCAGAATTAGTAAAAAGCACCAGAGAACTGAATGATAAGATAACATCCTTGGAAAGAAAACTAACAGATGAACAGAAATGTTTTGATGCTATTAAAAATTATATTGGTAGGTTTTCAGATATAATCCAAATTCTCATTGCGGAAGTGCAAGAATGAACATAAACAATTAGAGGCAAAACGTGATAAAATTAAGACTTCACATGTTACTAACCAGAAAATTGAAAATATAGAGAAGGGGTTGATTCTATACGAAATCCTTCAAGAACTGAGTCTCACTTTGGAACAGTTAGAGAGATTGAAGGAAGTGACCTTCTTAAAATGAATGTCATTATACACAGTGAAAGAAGTACATTGTACAGAGGCAAGGGAGCGTAGCACCCTTGATAAACAGCCAGTGGGAGATACCTTGTGCGAACTCAAGCTTGATGGATTTGATACAATCATATATTGCAAATCACAAAGCTAGGTATATTCGTGCAGGGCAATCTTGAAAATTCCTGACCAATTGTTATAAAAGATGCAAATATTACCAAAAATATTTTGTGTTGTAGTGGAAAGTGCTGCGAGCAAACAATGATCATACTCCTATACAGAGAAGAGAGTTGAACAAACTCAAAGAAAATTGATTGACAGGCAGAAAACCAATCCAAGTTTAGTTATAAGATATAGAGCGAAAACCTTCCAATTGTGCCCTGGCAGGGAAACGAACAAATGCAGCAACAAGCTTAATTGGATCAAAACCAACATTTCACCAATATTTCATCTCTCACCCCAAAGATTGAAGAATTTTTACTGGAAGTGGATGCTGTTCAACCCAATATCATAATTATTACAGATCTTGGCTGAAGCCAGACATT